TGTTTGTCTTTTTCTTTTGTAGCCATGGCGTTGTCAGATTATTTTTGATCTACGAGTTTGTATGTCTCTCTGGTATCTTTTGCCCCTCTTTCAATCTGTCAATAATTTCAAAACCAGGAATACTAGTGAAAAGAGAAGATACGTAATTAATGTTGGTTTTTTTCAATTTACTGTTGCAAGAGAAAGAATACTTTGATTGTATTAAATCTAACAATCTGGCTTGTTTAAATGAAACACGTGTTCTTAAGTCTCAATGAATAACTTTTGTATTTGAGCTGAGCTAAGTTGATGATTTATTCTCAAGAAGTATATTTAACCCTAATGTTAAAAGATTTTTAATGGCCCATGTGATATGCTTTGAAACATGTTTTTTTTTGTTTGTTTCCAATCTTTGGACCTGTATTGTGAAATAGCTATCGTGTTGTCTTGATTGTCACTTTTATTTTGTGGATTTTGTTTCTGTTTCTTTTTTTAAACTGTTTAATGAATTATAACTCTAAGTTACTTTAATTTCAACAAACAAACTACAATTTAATTTAACAGTATCAACAACAACAACAAATTATTTCGTGAAAAATATTTCCGTACTCCACCCCGAACAACAGAATTATTATTTTTACCTGTGTACGTTATTTCATTTAATGCCATTTTGTCTTAGGTTATTGTTGTCTTTCTGATATTGTTTATAAAGTATCATCCACATTTTTTTTTGTAAATATTGAAAAAATATGGTGTCATATATCAAATTTATTCGTTCAGTGTATGTTTTGTTTTTGTTAATAAATTTTTTTGATTGAGTTAAGCCATTTTAATTGATATTTTATAGTGTGTCTTTCTATATTGTAATGTTGCACTGCTGATTCAGGTTAGGGTGAAGGTTGGCGCCTGTTTAAACGTTTAAACCCGCTTTATTTGATTTCACCTGTTCAAAGTCAGGAACTCGTTGTTCAGTTGTTGTCGTTTGTTGATGTGGTTCATAAGTGTTTATCGTTTATGGTATTTTTTTATAAAGATTAGACCGTTGATTTTCCTGTTTGAATTGTTTTACACTAGCCATTTTTAGGCAATTTAAAGCTTGCTGTCCGGAGTGAGCCAGCCACGGCTTCATATTGAAGGCCGTACTTTGACCTATACTTGTTTACTTTTTACATTTTGTGACTGGGATGGAGAGTTGTCTAATTGGCACTCAGACCACCTATTCTTATTTCTATATATCAACAAATTATGAAAATGAATTGACATAGGCACTCATCAAGTCGATACAAAACCGAAAAGCAAGCAGCAAAAACATGAACGTGGCAATATTTCTTTTGGGCGGTGAACTATCATCTGTCAAAACTCAGATATGTGATATTATGCAATTTCATAATCCCACTGACAGCTAAGTGTGTAAAAGAGGGACGAAAGATACCAGAGGGACAGTCAAACTCATAGATTGAAATCAAACTGACAACGCCATGGCCAAAAATAAAAAGACAAATAGACAAATAATAGTACAGATGACACAACATAGAAAACTAAAGACTAAGCAACACGAACCCCACCAAAACTGGGGGTGATCGCAGATGCTCCGGAAGGGTAAGCAGATCCTGCTCCACATGTGGCACCTGTCGTGTTGCTTATGTTATTACAAATCCGGTAAATAGTCAATTCGGTAGATCACATTCGTGAAAATGGAAGGGTATTGTAGTTTCGACATAAGGAACATATCCGATATCATCTGTGAAATCCATAACGGTCAACCAACTCGTGATGGCGTCCGTAAAATTTACAAAGGGATGATTTCAACTTCACCATTTGGAACTCTTGGTTAAGGAATTATGTTTGCCTTTCATAATCAATGTTTTTAGAGTTCCAAAATGAAACTTCAATTCCATACCATTTAACATATTTAAAACAAAACAAAATAATGATACAGTATCTAACGATTAAACACCGTTTTATTTTGTAAAATTATTCAATTTGTTATAACCTGCACATAATAAATGATGCCATTAGGACACAAATACGCTGCGGATCTAGACAAATATATAAATAAACACCAGATGTTTCATATTTATTTTGTTAATAATTCGCAGTGATATGCACATTGTCATTGTCAGTGGTATCCTGTATACAAATGATACAAAATATATGAACTTCAGGAAATGTTTTATTAAAATGTCATGCCACCTGAAAACAAGGATAGAGATAACTAAGTCGGTGAAATAAGATAATATAAGAGAATATATAAAATTCTGTAACTGGAACATGCACCAGCTTACGCATCTTTATATTTATTTTTACATTTATATGTGATGTGTATGTATGCGTTAAAAGTACTTTATATGATTAAGAGTGGACAACACAAGTATAAACTAATCAAAAACAATTTATTGTTATTTCCTTTAGTATTTTTTTATTTTTTGGGGGTATTTTTTTCATGGAGTTTGGAAATTGTGTTCGCGAGTCGATCTGCTTTTCCGGCTTATGTGGTTTACTTTGTTGATTTAATATTAACTTACTCTTACAATTTTGTTTTTCATTTTAATAACACACGATATTGGTGCGTCTGAAGCGCTCTTCCAAAACTCAAAGTAAAACTTTGGAAACACTGGGCTTGTAAGTACTGGAATATAAGAGAGGTTAGATGTATGTGCCAAAAAAGAACATGACCACTAAGTTGAAGATATTGTCGGAACCATGCAGTTACTATTATCGACCATGTGCTAGACTAGAAAATGTCGCTTTATTGTTACATTTGATATTACAATTAGTACTAAATTACCTGAATAAATTTCAATGTGCTCTCATTGAACGTTATAATTGACAGATTTAACGATATTATTTTAGATTGTTTTATTCATCAGGTTTTCGCGTAAAATCGTAAGAATCCCAAGAGTTGATTAAGGTATTAGAATATGGTCATTCCTAGACTCTAGTATCTTGCAAATGTTTAATCATTCCATTCAGCTGAGCTTAAATTCTGGTAAGTTTTACATTACCCAATGAAATGTCAGCCTTCAAATGTTGAAGGTGGGTGTTAGCCCTATAAAACCAGAGACTATTCATTTTTAATAATACGTGTCATGAGTAGTATATTTATTTCTGTAATAAACATAGATGGAGTATTATTGATACAATAATACTTTTCTGCATGAAAATACTTCATCAAATTGGTTTCAAGAAATATTAATGTTTGAGGTAGTAATACTATTAAATGCAGTATGCAGTAAAAGGTGAAGATCCATAGTTACATACGAGTATATACTAAATTTACGATTGAGCAACACAATTCCCGCCAAAAACTGGGACAATGTTAAGAAGTTCGAAAGGAGAAGTAGATCCTGTTACGTATCTGGCACCCGTTATATAACTCATGTTCTTTTGGTCATGTCTATACCAGGATTGTTGCTGCGAATATAGAACATAGTTAGGTTCATTTGTGACATAGATGTTAATATATCATAACGGTCAACCAGCTCTAAAACTTTTTATGGAATGAATACAAATTTACCATGGGGAAGGAAAAAACATACAATCCCCTTTATTGTTGGAGTATATGCAATTTACTCCGTTTGTGTATTTAACTTCTTATTTACTGATTTATAAGAATTGAATATTAGTAAACTACTAGCGTCTTTTTATATCATCATACAATACATATACATCAAATAAAAAATGGCTGTATATAACCATGCACAATATAATATGCACGAAATATCAATTTGAATAGATTTTATATATACATGATTGTAGCCAGTACAGTCAAAACATTTGATATGAAAACATACACAAGTATATACATAAATAGTGAATTAATACCTGTCACTATATGCTTGAATACTATTTAACGTGATGTATGATGGTTTACTTTAACAAATAGTGACTTGGATGGAGAGTTGTCTCATTGGCACTCATACCACATCTTCTTATATCTATGTATGCATTTTTTTACCTTATAGAAATTAAAAAAAGATTGAGTTATCATTGCATGGAATGATCTCAGGCGGTCCATAACATTTCACACCATCTATGTAGAATACTTTAGCCTCACCAGTACAGAGCCATGGCACAGGAGGCATAAATTGTGGACAAGGATCTACAATTCAAGATGAATGCAACTATTTAATTACTGATATATTTATTATAACAATGCAGATATAAAAGGGGTTACCTTACCGGAGTCATACAGCTAGTATGAGTGTTGTTCAGTCAAATTGGGAAATCATACAACTTCGTAATTCATGTTATTGTTTACTTAAATAGGTTCACTGGTATTAATGAAGGCCATTTGTAATTATTTTAATCAAAATGATCAGAGCGGTATTAGACATTTGCGAAAACTGTCATACACCTACGATTAGGATTACGATTACACTTACAGGTAACATTTAAACTTTGGTCGTCTCAAAGTGTAAATACAAACTGTCGTTCCAAACCAATGCTATCTCCTTAATGATGTTTTTAAATGTTGAACAATTGAGTTTTCAAGCAAAATATGTAATTATAATGTACATATTTAATATTGGTCGTTGTGTTAAACTATAGTTGAAGTATGCCACTCTAAAGTACGCATATGAAAGAATGAACGAACATCATTTCAGAAAATGATTTGACATCTGAGAAATTTTCGCAATGGCAGTTTCGGTGGTTATCGCTTTGGGTAGTTCTGAATTAATTTCAGCAAGACATAGTGTTATGGCAGGCCTAGGGCAATCAACTAATGAGCATGTTGGCAATATAATAAGATTATACAAATTGTCCTAATTTTTTTTTAATGAGAATGAGAGATTCAACAAGTTGGTGTTTAAGAACTACATGTATATATAATATTTTCTTTTTTCGTGGTATTTCACTTCCCTTTCGGTATATTTTTATAATCTTTTACTTTATCTCAATCGAGAAAACAGTTTGTCTACGTTTCCTCTATCAATAAACATTCAAAAGTATACCAAAAAAAACACAACCCATTTTTTTGTGATTATATTTATGTCGATCTTTCAAATTTAGAATTTGAACTATAATTCATCATCGTCAGACTCTGATGAGGAGACACCAAGACTACGTAGCAACTTCGGAACCTTTTTCGTAATAAACTTGCTGTAGGCCTCATGATTTTTTTTAATCAAATTCATGAGCGGCATTTTTTTGCTTTTTGGTTTTTGTAGCTTGGCCCTCTTGGCAGCTTGCGGTTGCTCAATTTCCTCCTCATTCGTGTCCTCTCGTTCTTTTGGTTCCTCTGGCTCTTTCGGTTCTTCCTGCTCTATATTTTGTTGTACTGAAGTAGCATTTTGGGGGTTTTTTTTCGGCTCTGAATTAACTGGCCCGTTATTATCATCTTCAGAGGATAGATCTTCAAGTATTTTATCCCTTTTGTCATTTGCAGTTGATGGGCCAGGGACATTTTGATGATCTTTTGTCAACCTGGTCTCCAATATTTTTACTTTAGCAAGCTCTTCCCTACAATTTAAAAAAAAAGGAATAAAAATATATTTTCTTAGAGGATAAAAAGTACAAAGATACAACAGTTAAAACATTGATTGTGTGATGCTAAACTTCCAGTGACAAATATTTCATGCATGTTCAAGACGATACAATAATAAAAAATCAAATAAGCTTATGCAGTTAAGTCGCGATATAATTGTTTTTTAAAATGTTATATATATATAGATTTGTTTTAGTGGGAAAAAAGGGGGGACGTAGAAAAAACCAACCTTCATTAAATGAATTGCGATTGTTACAGTAAAACAGGTAGTTTAATGATGTTTGTTTCTGTTTTTTTTTTTTTATTTAGAATTTGTCTAACGCTATGTATATATCTCTGACAAAATATTGTAAATAGTTGACATAAATACATACTTGACCATGATATTCTTGATCTTATCTGCCGGAAGGGCCAACAGTTTGCCCAACTTTACTGATAATCTTGTTCTGATTTGTTTGTTGGTGCAATTTTTGTAGAGATCTTGTGCATCGTTTGTCAGAGTATGGATGTTTTCCTTTACTGTATCAATTATTCTGTCCCACGAACACGGGTGTGTCTGATATGCCCGCAGCATAAGTAATAACTCCTGGTCAGATACTGCGACAATTTTCTTTTTCCGTTTTAGAATTGAGGGTCCTGCAAAAAAAGGTCAAATAATTAGAAAAATATTAAACCAGAAATGGTAAAAATTATCAAAACCAGGATATATTTTTGACGGCAAGACATCCAACGCGAGTTTGTTTAAAATTCTGATTAACTCACAGACGAACGGACAGACACCGGACAATATTTCAAGAGAACTGCGCGGAGGCGGGTTTGCTAATTATATTGTGTTACTTCCTTATCGTATTTTCCGGTGAATTTCAAGTGCACCATTTGAAGAGTATCAATTGAACGAAATTAGAACAGATATTTGCTATACAAAATAAGGTAGGTCACTTATTTGTTTGTTTGTTTTTCATTTTGTACAGTTAGATAAGGTATATTATAGACTTGGAATACAAAACACACAAAAAAGGAAAAAAGAAAAAAAGATCTCTCTATATATATATATAACTATTCACAAAAAATATATTGCAAAGATCACATATTTTTTTTATTGTAAACTTACCTTTAATTGCGTCTATATCAGTCATGTTGTCAACTACAAGCTGGTCGAACATAAAACGTGGATGAAGGTGCGCTTGAAATGCAGAATAGGTCCACTCTAATATTTGGAATTTTACTATCTTTTCAAATACGTATAAATGGCAAATTTCAAGAAGAAAAAAAGTTTAGAAAAAAATAGAGCCTCCTTTCTTAATTGAAATTCCCCTCCCCTCACCTTGAAAAAAAACCTATTTGCTCAATAAATTTTAGAATTTTCTGAATACGATACAGTAAAGATACATAGGCGATTTTTTTTAAATTGTACTATAGAGAACACTTATAATGAAGCCGTCGTCTAAACATGAAGTTACCCGCAAAATGAATACGTTGATTGAAAGGGATCAAAGGTAAAAGCTACAGACACAACTGTTAACAAACACCCTTATACATGTACATATATGTGAAAAAAAGAAGATGTGGTATGATTGCCAATGAGACAACTCCCCACATGAGACCAAAATACGCAGAAATTAACAACTATAGGTAACCGTACGGCCTTCATCAATGAGCAAAGTCCATGCCGCATAGTTATAAAAGGCCCCTAAATGACAATGTAAAACATTTCAAACGAGAAAACTAACGGCCTAATTTATGTATAATTAATTCTGTTAAAGAGCAGTTGCGAATACAAAACTTAATCGTGTAAAAGAAGGAGGAAAGGAAGGACGGAATCTCAATTTTAATATACCGCCCGCTTTTATATACGTAGAAAATAAATGATGGATGTATTTGTGATATGTTGTTTTTTTTTCAGTTTATTTCCGTTATGGATGAACATCGCAGATTATCCATGGTAGCATTACCTGCCTTGATGCAGCCTCCACCAGATGATATACAATTTATTCGTCAGCTAGTTCTGACCCTTGCGACGCTAGTTAAACCACTGCCAGATCAATCTTTAACAATCAGGGAAAGAATTATAGGAAATAATGTGCACTTTTGGAACGGGAGAGATGTTTTCACTTCTTTCGCTAGCAACCGATATTCTTTCTTTGAAGTAACAGGTGAAACTCCTGAAACTTTGCTTCAAATTGTAGCCGATGTGAACGTTCTTTTCAGACAGAGAACCGGTCGAAATCATACGCTTTCTCCAAGAAACAGAATACTTGTTTTTATGCTATGGTTACGATCGTATCCGTCATATCACAGGCTTTATGTAATATTTGACGTTAGTGTTTCTACTATTAAAGATGAAATTCATGCATGTATACCTATTTTTGAAGAAACATATAGCCGTCTCATTCATTGGCCTTCTTTGAATGAATGGCAGGACTTACAAGGTGGGTGGGAAAAACTTCCGTTTGCAGTAGGAGCTATTGACGGAACTTCAACTGAAATTTATCGGCCAATAACAGAACCACAGGAACAATATTATTCGGGACACAGACAATATCACTGCATTCATACTCAAGTTGTTATATCGAACGAAGGCAGGATATGTTATGTTGAATGTGGATTTCTTGGACATCAAAACGATGCTCAGCAGTATATGTTGATGCGAAATATTGGACAACAACTACCTTTCCCGGATGAGCTATTTTTGCTTGGCGACAAAATTTATCCAAACAGACATCCAGTATTGACAGCTTATACTAGACAGCAAATTGTTAGAAAACCCCGGAATATGCAGAGAAAATGTAGAAAGTTAAATAGACTGATAACCCATTATAGAGTTAAGGTTGAACACGCAATCGGAGAATTAAAAAATTATAAAGTTATGGGGACTTTGTGGAGACATCCAAGACAGCGATTAACATCTGTTGTGACCATATGTGCTGCCTTCGTGTGTCGCCGTAAAGACTTATTTACCTAATAAAAAAAATCATTTTACTATGTATCTTTATTTGTTTTGTTTTTTTTTCATTTTGAGATGACCCCTTGTTTTTTTTAACTGTAATCGTAAGTCTAAGGTGTAATCCTAGGTATAGACCTAGTTTCCGCAAATGTCTAGTACCATTGCGTTATATTTTATAGTATTTTATTTAGATATAATGGTTATTTTACATATACCCAAAAATCATTAGCAAACCAAGGTCATAAAGTTGAAACTATGCTGTCATTGTTTGACACGTATGTAGCAAGTATTTTGAATTATAGTTGTGAAGTTTGGGGAAATCACAAATGTGATGATATCGAACAAGTTCAAATGAAATTCTTAAAACGTATATTAAAGGTGAAAGCATCTACTGTTAATTATATGGTTTATTGTGAGTTGGGACGATACCCTATGTTTATAGAAAGATATTGTCGAATGTTAAAATATTGGTTTAAGTTATTATGTACTGATAACTGTATTCTTAAATGCTGTTATGAAGAAATTCTCGAGAGATGTAATAAAAAACCAAACGACAAATATAACTGGGCCTGTCGAATTAGAGACATATTATACATGTATGGGTTCCAGGATGTATGGTTACATCAGGGTGTTAAAAACGTGGATTTGTTTTTAATTGAATTCAAAGATAGAGTAAAGGGTAGCTTTCATAGTGAAATGAACTCATTTTTTGAAGATTCGCCAAAATGTATGCTGTATAGATATGTATTTGACCCCAACATGTTACAATTTTATTTAGATCATGCTGTAAATTATGTTTATAAACCATTTATTTGTAAATACCGCATATCTGCTCACTGTTTGAATATAGAACCTGGTCGATTTTAGAATATTGAGAGACATCTGAGACTTTGTAATATGTGTGATAAACAAGTAATTGAAGATGAATATCATTTTATTTTAGTATGTGAAAAGTATAATGAACTTCGAAAGAAATTTATCAAACCATATTATTGGAGAAAACCTTCGAATTTTAAACTCGTACAACTGCTATCTGTTCATTATGTAAAGGAACTTAACAATTTCGGGAAGTTTTTATTTCTGGCCGAGAAGGCACGTAATTAAATTCATTTATAAATGCTTAATATGTGTTATATTTTATCATACTCTGCTGTACTGTTATATGGGTATACTTACTTATATGATTATTTGACTAATTGTTTAAATGTAAATATATTTCACTGATGTAATTGAATAGTTGTAATATTTATATTCTATAAGTTGTATTGCTTACGAATAAAAGATTATTATTATATAATTTAATTGACAAACCAATGTTGTTAAAGTCAATATTCAACTGAATTCATGTTCTACATTGCCAAGTTTTCTATAGCTAAGCAGTCTTATAATTTATTTCTGATTGCTAAACAGTTGGCGGCATATCAAATTGATTTCATGCTTATTTATGCGATTCAAAAGTGAACATTTTTGTTCTTAAGGATCTACATATGATAAGAACCTAAACACGGATAGTTTGTATTTAATCGTTTTTTTTATGAGATTTTATTTTTTGTGTCTTACCTGAGGTATACACTCTTTTGTGCTCAGTGCTAAAAAAATGCAACTAAATTACAAATCATTGAACGATGTCATCCCTTTTAGGATCTGTCGTAAACATCCTCACCAAAGATACCAGGCTTATGATTTTGAACGCCAGACGCGAGTTTCGGGTGCAAAAAAATCACCAGTGAAGCTCAAATCAACAAACCTAAATGGTCATATAAGGTATGAAAATCGATTCTGTTAGTAAATTTATGAAGTAAGATCTTTTGGTCTGCCTTCCTTGACTTACTTATTATGACGAAATGTATAGATCCAAATATCGTCGTTCATCTTTGCATATGGAAAAGTTTTATGGTAAATGTGTTTGGTTGATGCTAGGTACAGCGTTAAATTGATGTCGTTCGCACTAGATATTTGCGACACTCGGGTTATTGAATTATGTTCGCGGAACAATTTGAACTATCCTGCATTTAAAAACAAACTGAAATCATAAGCTAGCAACCTATTTATGGTACAAAAATTCTAGATACCAATCATTCTGATGATACTGTCAATTTTTCATTCAAATTACATCCATTGTCTTCCAAATAGATAAGTTATTGTATATAAACTACACTAAGTATTAATATGTATACTTACTTGTTAATGATCTCGTTTGCTGGAATGAAAACTACATGAACATATAAAAAAAGTCTTTTTATGATGCATGCTTTATTTATTAGTTTTAAGTGGTTTTGAACTAGCTTCCAGTGACTGCAAGTACTCTGATTACGGTGCTTATGTCTATTGTTGTGCAGTTACTCCACTGTCCTACGTTAGGGGAGGGTTGATTGCTCCCACACATGTTTAACCCAGGCACATTTGTTTTTGAGGGAAATATGTAAATATAGTTATCTAATGCAACATACGCGTAAACATATAATTTTTGTATTGGGTCGTTGACTGGAACAAAAAACCACACTTATCAAACAAATGATAAAGTTTTGTATATACGCTATGTTATTTAACTGTGTCAAGTATAATTAGTGCAATTTAAACAACAATACTTTTCTTTTTTGATAGTAATATTATTTACAGAATAAAATTGGCCACACTAGCCGTTGTTTACATGCCTAACTAACTAAGTCACGTTTGCCAGTCATTCCATATAAAATTTATCA